AAAAATTGATGGAACATGAGATTAAATTGAGAGAAAGAACTTGGAGTGGTGTTTATTTGTTGAATTTGCTTTTGAGTTTAAGATTAGGGAGATCTCCTGTTGTTAGAAAAGCTGATTATCCAATTCCAAAGATTTCTGAAGATGATTGGGAAGAATGGGATGGTTGGACTGAATTTCAAATTGAAAATTATGAAAATTTAACGTTGGCCAATAAGAAACCATTGAAGTTAGAAAGTGCAAGATGTTTGAGCGTTCATAATAAGTTATTAGAGCTGGCTTCCTTATTGAATCTGATTGTTACAAGTTATATCGAATATAATGAGAATCTTGATCAAACAGGGTTTTATAAAAATGATCATCATAGATTGTTGAATACAAATCCTGAAGTTTTCACATTTGGTACTTATACAATCAATCCAAATGAAACAATTGCTGTTTCTGCTATTGAAGATGAATTACTTGAATGGTTCAAATCATTACCTCCACATTGTCAAATAAATGATGATACATCCAATGGTGAAGAGGAAAATGGGAAGATTCCACATTTTGTTGCTTTGATTCATTTATTTTATCATTTGAGTTGGGGTTTATTAGCTCTTAAAGTTTTGGATATCAAACATATTGATGCAAGTGACACAATCAAAGTATTAAACCATCTAAATGTTAATGTTCATTTTGCAAAATCTTTGAAGAGTATTATTGAAATTTTGCAAAGATTTAATGTGAAAAGTTTAGTTCTTTCAATTCCTTATATTGATTATTTCCTTAGTGTTTCTTTCAAGCTGAATGATGTTTTGGACAAAGATTATGCTAGTGAAATCATGGACATTTTGCAACAAGCTAGTACAATTTCCCCAAGTTGCTTAGTGACTTATAACATTTTGAAGATAATGCAACAACAAGACCAAAACAAGAGATCATTAATGGCAACTTATAAAGAACAACAGCAATCACATCATCAACCAATTCCAGCGGAAACACTAGCTCAAGGTACTTCAGATTCAAAACTTTTGAATAGTTTCAAACAAGCTAGTGGGATGAACTCATTGAAGCATACACCAACACCAGACTCACAACAAAGATCATATTTTGCAAGACCACAATCCACCAGCTTTAAACCAATCTCTAGTTTCAATTCACCAAATCCATTAGGAACAACAGCAACATCTACAGATCCATCAACAATGATGAATGATTTAGATAGTTTTTTGATCGATATTGGACCATCAAACAAAGGTGAAAACAAGATGAAACAATTTATCAAGAACTTGGGATATGTTGGTAATTCTGAATCATCGATTTATGATCATGTTACAACACCTCAAATTGCATCATCTTCAACAGGAGCAATGGGCACAATGGGTACTGCATTAAATGAAAATTTAGCATTCACACCTGGCGAGATTGAGAGCATTGGACTTCATGAGTACTTGGAGCATATGGCTGCATCAAATAGTAAGAAAAGGTAGATTTAATGTACATTTTGTATTGTATTTATTTCAGTCGTAGCTAAAAAATCTTTCGGCCGAGTCGCGATCTCTGGATTTTTGTTAGGGGGGTTAAATCTTTAACCATGGGCACCACAAAGTAATAAACTACGCAATTTTTGATTCAACCACAAAACAATGAAAAATGGAAAAATATTTAAGAATTGATAATAATCAATTGAAATCTGATATTTAAACAGTATTGGATCCTTCAAACGTCATAAATACTCATTATAGAGGGCATGCTGATAAGGTCAATTACCAAAGCACAAAGAAGAATCATCCCATCAAGTTTTATCAGAATGACACATAACTCCACAAATGAAGAACCAAAAAGATTTGGTTTAGAAAACCAAGTGAAAAGAAATCCTCATAAAGATTTTGGGAAAGTTGAAGCATCAAGAGAGCCTTTTGAAACAGATGTTGTATGGCATTACACCAAAATTCCAAAAACTGATTGGGTTCCTGGTACTGGTGCAAATGATAATGAATGGTCCAAATATGAAAAAATTTCAATAGATCCATTTGGTGAAGATCGTAATCCTGTTGATAATTATAAATTGTTAATCTCAGCTGTTGTGCCTAGACCTATTGGATTTGCATCAAGTGTTTCTGCTAAGGGTGAAAGAAATTTAGCACCTTTTAGTTATTTCACAATGGTTAATCATGATCCACCAATTTTTGTTATTGGATTTTCTGGAGGTAGAGGTAATCCAAAAGATACCTGTAAGAATGTTTTAGAAACTGGTGAAGTCACTATAAATATTATTAGTGAATGGTTTGTGGAAGCTGCTAATTTTTGTTCAACCAATTCTCCACATGGTGTTGATGAATGGAAGTTGAGTGGATTGACTCCAGTTAAATCAAATGTTGTGAAGCCTGAACATGTTAAAGAAAGTGCATTTTCCATTGAAGGGAATTTGATTCATAGTCATGAATGGAAATCAAAGAAAGATCCATCTAGAGCCACTGGTACGTTATGTATAATAGAAGGTGTTCAATTTCATGCAAGAGAGGATGTTATCAATGATGACTTGAATATTTTGGATATGGCTAAATTGAAACCTGTGAGTAGATTAGGTGGTATAACATATGCAAGAACAACCCAAGGTTTTGAAAAACCAAGACCAGATTACACTAAAGATGTTGAAGAAAAACCAGAAGTTAAGAAATTAATAGAAGAGTAAGACTACTTTGGAATTATACAACAAATTAACAACGTTAAATAGTAAAACAACAAATAAAAACGGATAAGAATTCCCAACAGAATGGAAGTGAAAAAATAGGTGTAAAGACACTAACAAATAACAAAACACCTTAACTTATTAGTACACTAATATACAATTTGAGTTTCAAAATAGTAGTAATTCAACGCTTTCTCTTCAAGTGCTCTGGAATATGATGGAATAACCAGTACATTGTTTCTCTTCCGCCATTTTCTCTATTTCTTAAATTTTCCAGCTCATTGACAACACGTTCCTTAGCTAAAGCTTCATTACCACCCATTTCAGCAGCATACATCTGTGTACCAATTTCAACAGCAGTAACAACTCTAAAACGTCTACTAAATGTTTTTGACAAGTTTTTATTGCCCTTTCTCCATCTTTTTTGACTTTCTTCCAAATATTTCAGAGATGGTTGACCTTGATATCCATAATAATACTCATCTAAAACTTCTTGAACAGATTTCGGATTTTGGATTGAGTTTATGGAAATTGTTTTCATCAATTAATCCATCATCGTCCTCATCATCTTCATCACCAACATTACCTTCATTACCTGCAT